TTTTGTTAGTTATACAGTTACATCGTTATTTTTGTCAGCCTTAAACCCCCTGAAACTTAGTTACTGCTGTATAGCATAAAACATTCAGTAAACACATTTTTATCACAAGTTAAACACTCAAGATATTGGCAACATACGCTGTCATCACATATGGATTCAATGCTAAACTCTGATTTGTACATGGATGTGAATGACATCACTTTATCCAGTCAAGCTCACAGCCAATCAGTGAGAAAAGTAAAGACAAAAAACACAAATACAGAATTAACTATAACACTCTGATCTGGGAGAAAATACTTACAATTTGAAACAACTGTAACTGATTTAAAGATGATCTGTTTTCTTTACACTGGAGCATTTTTATTGAATTAATTCCTAGTGCTCTTTATAATGAGGGCCTTGGAGCCCTGGGAGTCTCCAGAGTCACTTTAACAACTAGCAACCAGGAGTCAGGATCAGCAATTAGTATAGACATTTGAGGGCTATCCATAGGAACATACGCATAAAGACAAGTGACATTGTCATGTCATTGGCTTTAAAAGATTCAATTAAAGTTTTCAAACAGTGCAAACCTATGTTTTTTGTTTTTAGGCTGACTCAATGTGCTATTATTAGGGGATAGTTTTCATGATTTTGTGAGATCCCAACAAGGAGACATACATAATAAAATAAATAAAGTGGCTTAAGCACAGGCAGGGAAAGCACAGGCAGCATAACACTCCAATTTAACACTTTAAAAACATGTAACACCATAGCACTAAGTGACAAAACACATTCATTCATGAAGAATGTTCTCCCTCTCTCCCGCTTCTTTCCCCCTTTGACATAATCCTGTACCAGGCCTGTACTTATGTTAGCCATGAGTCATGTGATAATCCTTGTGAGATTTAGCACCCACACACACACACACACACCCCCCTTGTCTCCTGAAATCCAAACACCAGTGTGTCAGTGAGTTACAGGAGAGGAAAGGAGAGCTTTTAGCCATGTCATGGGTTTTGTGAGTCGGATGCAGTTCCATGAAATCATGAGATCTGGAAACGAAGAAACCACAAGACCTCTATTAGCTACACAATCCAACTCTTCTCTTCCATTAAAAAGAAAAGTTTGAGTGGCAGGAAGCTGGGAATTCAGACGTGGCTCAGTTAACAGGTTTTTGAAAGCTCCAGTCACCACATTATAGTGAACTCACTAATCCAAACTATACCTTGTATTAATGGTTTCAGGAAAAAATTACTTTATGGTTTCTTCCTTGTTCCTTCTTCAAATAATTTATCTTCAGGCTTTAACAGTAATCAGATGTGATAAACACGCTGTACAGGAGTGGGAAGTTTCGTATAGTAAAAGCAGGTAAGAAAACCAGACGAGGCCCTTATCTCTCAGACTTTACTCGTGAAATCAGCTTTGGTTTAGCCTCCGTAGCCAATCCCTTCATTTCACATAAAGTCCCTGAAAATGTTGACAGTTACTCGGCAACATGGTGGTACTCCCTGGGGAAGGGCTCGCACATAACCTGTTGTTTCACTGGAGAGGATACAAGCAGTTGATTTAATCAAGTTGACATTCAAATTGTCCCTGACTTACTGGTTCTGTAATTCATTTAGAGGCCCAGGAGTCAAAGGAGCATGACTCAGGCAGGGCTGATCAAGCTGTAATGTGATTAAATCACATCCTCTTTCGGGCTGCATATTCCTCATGGGTCAGCAGCTCCAAATGGGTAAAAGTGAAGGAAGCAGCTGGCCTACAGGAAGGATTATTTTACTTCATATTGGTGTTGTACGCTTCCTTATGGACAGCAACATAACTGTACAATAGTGTAAGTTTATTTAAGGCAATTACTGACAGCCATTCTTTGAGGCTGGTAGGCTGCACGGATTGTAGTTTTATTAGCGGTTAAATGTATGTCTCAGAGTGGTGAGCTGTTCAAACGATATCTATTGGTAACAGGTTATTTTACACCAGCTGCATGTGGACGTGACTAACGAGCAGTGGTGTCAGGGAGGATAACATACATAAGAAACCTCAGTAAAGGTGGGCCAGATTGGACCACCACAAGCTTGCTGTGCCCTCTGCTGGTGGTCGGTGTTTTTAGAAACATACTGTAGACAATAATAAAATTGTGTGTGTGTGTGTGGACAGTGTATGTGTGGATTTATCTCATCAAGGTGCAACAGCTGTGACACTAATCCTGACACCATGACAACCCTCAGACGACTTGGAAAGAGTTGCCAGGAGACCAGGAGGAAGTATTGAAATGTTTACAGGCTGCATGTGTCTGCACATGTCATGTGTGGCTTCATATGAGGGCACCAAATGTTACCCAGTTTGACAGCAAAGCATTATGTAATCCTCATTCATTTTCTACATGTACACCATGTATACTGTAATAGCTAATCTACTATTAATGGATGAGTCTTTATTGTTTATTAAAATCTTTAATTGGCCTTTAACTGTAGTCAAAGTTGTATTCCTTGTTGATATTTTGTGACATGTTGTGAATGTGGTTTTAAATTTCACTTATTTCAATGTCAGTTTATTTTAAAAAAAAAGAGTTAAAATGATATGTTACAAAAATAAACAGTAAAATATGACAATGAAATATGCCAACATTTTACGTTTACATAACTGTTACATTACTGAAAGTAGTGTGATGCAACTGCAATTTCTGCTAAAGATTTCAGTTTAGTGACAGTAAATATGGGCAAAGGTCAATTGAGAGAGCAGTATATTTCCTCATAATGACAATAATAACAGTAATAATAATAATTATAATGATAATAATAACTTTATTTAAATAGCTCATTTGAAAACAGTTACAAAATGTTTTACAGCAAAAAGAAACAGTGGTAAAAATAGAGAAAATAGAGGTAATAGCACCCTCTGTTGGCCGAGGCCAGTATATACACTATAAACCTTTATTCTGCTGCACTGAAACAAAAAATCCCAACATGTTTAAGTCTCAAGCATTCATCTACTTTATACATAGAGCATCTTGCACCTCCTGAAAGCTTAAGGTTTATTTCCTTTTTGGTATA